TTTATCCAGTTTGGCAAGCGATAACCAAAGATCAATTTTTATCGTTTCCTGCTGTTTCTCCTGCTCTGTCCCAAAGGCCCACTCCAGTTCATGCTGGACCGATACAAACCCTTATAGAAAATGGCCCTACAGTTCTTCCTGCCTTACTTATAAAGATAAAGAACAAAAACAAAACAAAAAATTAAGCAATTATTGATAGGTTTGCCTAGCACAGACCTGTTGCTGAAATGAGACAATGCTACTACACCAGCAAAAACAAGACACAAGTCACCAAAGTTCTTTGGTAATCAGGTGCACGAGGGAGAGAACTGTGATGAGCGCTGTTCCTGACGCTCGAACCCCAGTCACTCTCAGTTAGCTCCCCCGTAGTACTGCTCTTTATTGAAGTAACTCATGAATATGCATTAGTTCATTAACATATGACATCTTACATAGGCATACATGGGAACAAAGAGTACCAGTCTGTGTATACGTGTAGGTGTGTGTGTGTGTGTGTGGGTGACACAAATGACACAAAATCAAAGAATATTAACAAAACTCGAAAACACATGAACACTGGGTCACCAGACCCAGGACCATGACAGAAAGAGACTGGCCCCCGTCAATCGATCTTTCAAGAACTGTTTGCACACAAAGAATCCAGTATTTAAAAAAATGTGTGTAGGTCTTCCAAATATTATTGGGAGCACATCATCATGTATAATTTTGAACAGTATCCTTCTTTGTCATGAAACATGAAACCATGATGGTTGCCTCCAGCACCTGATGATATCGGTTTGACTCAACCCTGCACTGCTTTCTGCATTAGCGTTCAGTGACCGAGCAAAGAAAAGAAATGCACACAGTTTTTGTCTGAGTAGACACATTAAGACAAGAACAAACTGAACAAAAAGAATAATAAACCAGTGGTGGTTGAAAAAGTTTGCTTTTTAAAAATAAAAAACAAACATGTTAACTTGGAGTGACAAATTATAATTTGTTAGTTATGTTCAGGCACCTTGTATGTGTTCAGCTCACGGACTTTGCTATAGAAGTGTTGAATGTTTAGTGGTGTATAGACGTTGTGTTTTGACTGGTGAGCACAACTGCAACGGGAGAAACAGATTACTCAGAAAAGGTTTACTTGAAATTTTAAGATTACTTAGAAAAGTAGGAATAAAGAGTTTTGATTCACAACCAATTTGTTTGATGTCACAGACTGGGCACAGTTTTGTGCCTCTTCTATCCTCTCTGTCATAAGAAGCGTGCACAAAATCCTCAATGCAACTAAGAAGGAGGACCTCGAAAGGTGCATTGGTTTACAGCTGGGGTAGGGAACTCCAGACCTCAAGGCCCGGTTTCCTGCAAGGTTTGGATGTGTCCTTGATCCAACACAGCTCATTTAAATGGCTAAATTACATCCTCAACTTGTCTTGAAGTTCTCCAGAGGCCTGGTAATGAACTAATCATTTGAGGCCTGGAGTTCCCCACACTGGTTTACAGGGAGTGATTCACAAAATACAAAATGCCTCTTAACACTAAGAACTAAGCATGAAAAAGAATATATAACAATTCTGACTGCATAACAGCAGCAGGGTATGTAACATAAAACAGCACTGGATCAAAGGCAGTAAGGTGTACGCAGATCTGCTTCTGATCACCCTGAAGTTGAAGCCACTTTAAGAAACCCCTCAGAGGCCCAGAGCTTCTTTCCTCACGCTGCAACCCAACAGGACATTTCCAGCATCCACACACTCTGTCACACGCGGCGCTGAAAACAGAAAACAGATATTAAAATAATGAATGATGGAGAAAAGTTGACTGTAGCATGAAACAATTTTTAAAACATTTTATTCTTTAATTAGCGTGTTACTACCATTCTGAGCACGGAGCCATGAAACAGCCTTCATAGCCAGAAGCTCCCACTCGTCCTTTGCATCCATCTTGAAAGCAGGAAGCCAGATCAGAGCCAGAATGGTGGCCCACACTTCACTGTTGGCCTAATTCAACAAATCAAAGACAATAAAATAAAACACATAAAAACACGCTACATGATTTTACTTTCTTCAACCAGTAGTATTAAATATTTTTGGCTGCTTCCTTGTCACAAGGTGTCACCAAGATGTGTAGCTCTGCATATTTGATTTGGCCGATTATTACACTGAATGCTGTTCCTGATGTAATCACAAACTGTGATGCTCTAAAATAATGTGCTGAAATACTTTGTCAAGAACTGATGATGAGAAAAGTATTTTTGCTGTGTGTGGTTACTGTGTTTTATCTTCTGATATACAGATGTTTACTTTCATGCTGTGAGGCAAGCCTACGTTTAGTTTGACATCTTTTTGTTTGGTTTGGTCTGTGTCGTGCGTTGCTGTGTCTCCAGGAACAGATACGAAGTTCAACACAACACTCCTTTCTTTTCACAAACTGGACAAGAAAAACATCTAAAACCCTCGTTGGAGATAATAACTACATTCATGTTACATGTTAACTTTTTTTTTAAGTCAGTCTTTCCGCACGAGGGTCTGCGAGCACTCGCGATAGAAAGGGCGTTTAACTAGTCACGTGACGCTTCTTACGCGTACAGCGCAATCCAGTCAGAGACTTTATCAGGTGATGATAATAAAACGGTAATTAAAATCTATAAAAAAAACCCCCAGTATATCATAGTAAAAAGAGCACCGCTGGAAATAAGAAAACATTTGCTGTTGCAGAAAATTTGCAATGTGACTCACCATTTTAACTCGGAGTGCGCTCTCAGTGCTGCTGTTTACTCCCAACGTGAGTCTCATTAAACATTTAAATCGTCTAAACATAATTTTAATGACTTGACACACGTCTACTAAAATTGAGCCTTCGCTTCTACAAAGATTCGCATTAATATGGCGACTCTGCGACCAGAAGCATCTGGATTATGTTGTCACGGATTATTATACACGTTGGAAAACGCCACCAGAAAACTAGTTAAGCGGCAGCACCGGGGACTTCTCCGACCCTCTGCTAACTTCAAGTCAGAGGACTTCGTCCCGACGATGAATGGCATCTCTTTGCTCTTGTGACAGAGTGACTGTGCACCCACCCGATTATATGTGACACTTCAGTCGTTCCGTTTTGTGAAACTGCATAGGTTATACTGTGTGTTTTTGACTGTGATCCGAAAACATTTTTTAAAAAAGACAATAATGAATCCGGAAATAAAAACCGATGATGTGACATTAGGAATGAACTAACTCATAAAGAACGGAATGGTTAAGATAAACCTGTGAGATATGAAAGTGTGGCGCTGGAGACCGCTAGTGAAGAATGATGTGCAATAGAGGCTTACTTCAATGGACAGACCAATGACTGTAAAAACAGACGTGTGTATCCTGACAGGTTTCGTTTTCTTTTTCTTCCTCTTTATACTGTTTAGTGGCGGCTGGCAAACAGCAAAATGGTGCATTATCGCGACCAACTGGTGTGTAGTTGTCTCCTCTCTCCTGTTCCTCCCTGTGCTTCTCATTTTTTTTATTTCCCTTTGTATTTTATAAAACCATCTCCCTTACCCCTCTTCCTCCCATTGCCTTTGCCACCTTTCTTTTATTTTGTGCCATATTCTACTCTTGATTGCTGTCCTACTAACACTGATTTCCATATCCATAATGGTCTCTTTGCAGCTTCCTTTGCTGTTCTGTCTGCCATAATCATTTCCCTTAACTCTATGATGCGCTGGTACCCATATGAGGTTGACCATAAGCCCCATCATAGTAATTCTATATAATGTTTGCTGAATCTCTATCAGAATGTCAGCTCTGCAATCTGAGTGACTGTCTTGCAAACTAACGAATGATGAACTTGAGTCTGAGCATATCACTGATCTTAGTGGTCTTGCATCGTCAGTCCACTAGACAGCCAACGGTATTGAAACTACTTCTCCCATGTACACTGATGAAACATCACTGATTCCTTTTCTTACTTATCAATATATATACTAAAAATAAAAATACAATAACAGTAAACAATGCAGAACACCAACATCAAAAATATAATAAAGTCAACAGGCAATAAAAGAGAATTAATTTTTACTGTATATATCTTTCATTAATCAGCATAAATACCCCTATAAACATTTAGTTGGCCCAGATGTAGAAATTGTTCAAAAGAAAATTCCAATAAATTCTGATTATATAGCACTCATAACAGGGTATATAATACAACAGCGAATTGAAGGCAGTATGGTGTAATTAGATCTGCTTCTGTTGACTAGCCCCGAAGGTTAAGCCACTTTGAAAACAAGATGTAAAAATCAAAAGTGGCTTTATTGCTGAAGTTAGATTAAAAAAAAATACAACAACCACACAGTCTACGCAGAAACCACAAACTCACAAGCGAGGCTCGTTTGGCTTGTAAGAAAGAACATTGAAAATGTCTGGCTATTATCTTTAGTGGTCTTTGAGCTATTCGTGTTCAAACATTGCTGCAGATGTGAATGTGCAAAGAAATAGTGTGTGTGTGTGTGTGTGTGTGTGTGTGTGTGTGTGTGTAGTTTATTGAAAACTAAAGTTTCACTGCAAACATTGCACATGTTCAAATTTTACTATAAAAATTTTTTTCACAGTATTTCTTCTTGTAAATTAGTGACTGTGCACCCACCCAATACTATGTGACACTTTATCCTAGGACATGGCAAACATTAGCTCAATCCATTAGCTCCATTTATTAAAACTTTACTGAAAAGATTCTGTACTTTTGGCCTGCAGGGCCAGAAAGATTATCTGGACAGTTTTACTGCAGGTCCCTGTTCTTGTAACAGTGTTTACACTATGAATCACAGACTGACTGTGCTAGTTCCTTGTAGATGAGGACCTGGGCAATTGGGTATATTGCCTGTACTATACAATATGGCTTAAGTGCTAAAATGTTAATGTGCATACCTTTTATTATTCAGCATACACAATTTTTCCCAAACATTTAGTAGTCTGTCAGATTATAGAAATATATATATTTATTGAGTTGCATTAGATTTCATAGCGTTTCTATCTAAACATTAAGCAGACAGATAAACCTGATTACAAACTATGACAAATCCTGTAAATAAAACATTCACTCCACTATAAGATAAAATTAGGACTTTGTCTAGAGGCATAAAAAGTTAACTTTGATTTGGGACTGTAACACAAGCATTTTGAATTAGAACCTTTTTCAGAAGAACAACATGAAGTGGAATGTATAAAAACAAGTAAAAAGTAACAAATTATGAACAACATCACCATATGGTGATGGAAAACAGGAATAAAAACATACAATTTAAATGAGTTGCCATAATAACTGCTTGTTTTTTGAAACGATTCTGATTACATAACAATTACAGTAGGGTAAATAGCACAATAATGAATTAAAAGCCATATGGCATGATTTGCCAATCCTGAAGGTGAATCCACTTCGAGAAAACCTAGAGTCCCAGATCTTCTTTCTTTATGCTGCAACCCAACAGGACATTTCCAGATTCCACACACTCTGACACACATGGCGCTAAAATGTAAACGTAAGTTATTATATGAATAAGGAGAGGGCTGATTTTTTTTGTGGTTTCAAACAGTGTTTAAAAGAATACTTGATTTGATATTATCATTGTTTCTACCATTTTGAGCATGGATCCATGAGGCAGCCTTCATAGCCAGAAACTCCCACTCATCCTTTGCATCCACCTTGAAAGCATGAAGCCAGACCAGAGCCAGAATGGTGGCCCACACTTCACTGTTGGCCTAATTCATCAAATGAACACATGAAAATCATGATCTCACTTTCTACAACTTTGCTAACATAAAGTAAAATAGGGCACTGAAATGTTCAGTAGAAGTTCTGACTGATGAGAAAACACTCTGCAGTGCAGCTCCGTGGATAGTTAGGAGTCATTACAACCAATATTTTATCCTCTAATATTTACAGATTTGTTTTCATGCAGCAAGGCAGGGGCTACATTTAGTTTACTTCTTTTTGTTATGTTTGTTATATTGTACTCCCATGTTTTTAATTGCGTCCTATGTTTTTTGATCAAATTATCCAATCAATTTTGTTTTAAATCTCATATTATCATTTTGTGTTATTACGTAAATTGACAGCCAGTGTTAACTTTGAGAGAAAATGTTGATTTAGTTTTAGTCAGTTGTTTTACTAAACATTTATTTTTATTTATAATTTAGCCGTCTAAATACAGATGTGGTCAGCTAAATATTATAAGATTATAGTAGATGTAGTTTATTCAGCTGATTAAAATCTAATGTAAAGTGTAAAGCTTTGATGTGTTTTTGCTGGTAAGAGATGCTCCAAATGGTTTACAAAGCATCTTATTTTTTGATATGACATGCAAAACCTGTCCAGGTCTTTTCCTTCCGAGTTTTTAACTTTTATCATGTTTTGATGATAAACAGGGAGCATGGGAGTTTCCTCCTGCTTGTCGGTGGCAGATCAAATTGTGGGTGTCTAACTAATCTAACAAGGAGATTCCTTCTGATTTTATCACTTCCAAATTCGTCTCACCTTCCTACACAACTTAAGTTCTGATTGGATTTCGTCTCTCTAGAAAATTTTCATCTCGTTTTTATTCGTCAGTGAAACTGTTAATACATTTCAAGTTTTTGTCTTCCTGCGTTCGTTTTTATTGTGTTCTGTTTTTCCCTCACAAAGGTTATTGATGAAAATTATGACAAAAATGATTAGTCAGCAAAATTCGGCCCACCGTTCTGGGTTTGATCTTTTCCACCTGCTCACTGGTCTTTCCCAGTGCAGTAGCCAGATCTGGATCAAGCAGCCAGGAACCAGACGCCTTCTGGAGGGAGACTAAGTGCATGAAAGGGTCTCTGGGTAGTTGCTTGGGCAACACAACTGGAAAATCAAAGATTAAACAAAAACCAGACCTCAATATGGTGATAGATAAGGAAACACAATTCTACATGACAGAGGAAAGCAAAATGTAACAAACAGTGTACATAAGGCTTCCACACAGCAAATTAAGGGTTTTAAACAGAAACTGAAGAAAGACTAAAACTGGAAAGAAAAAAAAGATAGCTTTATTTTTTTCAATGTGTATACCACAAATAGGTTGATATTATTAATGTTTTTATCAAACAATAGCTTCTGAATGTAAACAGCAAGTAGATTTGAGATGACGCACACACATACTGAGGATCATATAATTTCCTCTGTGGGTATTATATGAGCCATATTTATAGAACAAATATTTTTTGGAGCTTACAGTCAGCTTTTTCGTACCCAACATAGATTTTACTGCAAGGTAGGCATTCATCACCATGATGTTTACATAAAAACAGTATATTTAAAATATTATATTTGAATTTGTTCAAATATTGTTTAAAAGTTGGGTCAAGACATTTGCTGAAGAATTTGTCATTAATTGGACTTAAAGGGACTTTCATAGCTTTTACTCTTTTCTACAGAAAAAACTGAAAAGTTCCAAACTATAAAGTGACACATTAACACCTCCTACAGCCCACGTGTACACATATGATCTAAATCCTCTCTAAATCCCACAAAGACATGGCAGCTGGAAATACAAACCACATATAGAGAGACTTGTAAAGAAACTGAGACTTAAACTTCGTTTTTTCTTCCGTAATAAACAGTGCTTTTCTTTAGCAGTAAAAAAAAAACATCTTGTCACTGCAACCTTTTTATCTGTGTTAGATTATGGTGACATTCTGTATATGAACGCTTCTTCTTCATGTCTTCTAATGTTGGACAGGATGTATCATGCTTCCTTGAGGTTTATTACCAACTGTAGATATCTGACCCATCACTGTGACTTGTACTTAAGAGTAAAATGGCCTTCTTTGGCCATTAGAAGACAGGGGCATTGGTACACTTTTATTTATAAAGCTATGCTAGGATTGCTGCCTCCTTATATTTGTACTTTGGTCACAAGGACAAATAGTGGTTCTTACTCCTTGCGTTCAAATGATCAGCTGCTGCTGTCTGTTCCCCTTGTCCGCACAGAGTTGGGTAAGAAAGCCTTTGTCCACCGTGCGCCTTTTTCGCGTAACCTGTTACAGAAAGACTGGAAATTGACTGAACTGTTGTCTTTAAATGTTTTTAAAACTAACTCAAAGGCCTACAGACTGCCTCAATAATGTGTAATTGTTTTGTGTAATTGTTTAACTTTGTTTGTTCGTATGTATTTGTTTGGAAATGTGCTGCCTCTTGGCCAGGACTCCCTTGAAAAAGAGGTTTTTGATCTCAACGGGACATTCCTGGTTAAATAAAATAAAAATACAAGTTTCAGATTTGAAATCACAGTTTTAACACAATCTTAAATTTGACATAACAATTTAACATTTAAAATATGACTAAATAAGAAAATGACTTTCACACAGGTGGAATCACGGACGGAAGATGAACTCTGTATTAAAATGTAGATAAAAATGAGACATTTCAAATCCTTTAACTTGTTTTGACCAGTTACCCATCCCACATTTCATTTTAGAACTTTAGATAGCTTGTCTTAAACTTCCATTCAGCTTGTACTTACAGTCTTGCAGGGAACGATTTCAGGTTTTTATTAAGAAATAAAAACAATTACTGGATTGTGATTTTACTGCGCAGATGTGTGGTGTTCTGTCATTCACTCTTTACTTACCCCCACGCCGCGGATTACCGTTTTTCTTTCCATCTACCATGAAATCAAGATGAAAAACATGGAATCAGCAATTTCATAATAGTAAATGAAAAAGAACAAATAAAGTACAGACATTATAAACAGCCCAATACAATGACTATGATAGCAAATACTGCTGATGCTGTCCATAGAGCATTTCATATTTAAAATTTTCAAGTTAAACAGAGTAAAACAGAAAACATTTATTTTTAGAAATGCACTGATGTGCAGATGTGTGTTACACTGACATTCAGCTTTTACTTACACGTATCTGGTATTGAACACATTGCCCTGCAGGAGCCAACCAGGATGTTAAAAAATGAGATTAAAATCTTTTATAAGAATTTTTTCAAAGGGCGTTTTTCATGTCATTGATTTAAACACTGATTAAATGTATGGGATCTTCATGTGGTCAGTCCGGATGCTTGCTCACCTACCTCCATGGTCCCTGCAGTATTTACAAAGCTTGATCACCATGCTTGATTTGTCAGATTGTTTAATTATTCATTGTTCTTCTGTGTTTAGTTTCTTCCTATCAGTATTTTTGATTCTTTGTAACAAACCCTTTGAAGAAAACAAGCCACATTTTGCTTTAACTGGCATGTTTTTGGATTCTGACTTCAGGAACCTCTAAACTGGTTCTAATGTTCTGCTCCAAGTTATCATTGAAGTACTTTTATTCATGTTCATCCGCCTTTGTCTTCAGGTTGTGTGTGACAATTAGTTTTTGCTTTTGTAGTAACAAATGTATAATTCCTCTAATACTCTTCATACTTAAAACTAAAATCTTCTGATTGCTATTTTTTAAAAATACGGGGATACTGCCATGTCTCTCTGCTCTTAACATTATCACTGCCCTGCTTTCATTCACTCAGCTGCAGGTATACATGTGTTAAATCTCAGGGATGCAGCAAACGTCCATGCACACACGTACCTTCCAACGCCAATAACTCTGCTTTGTACTTACCTCTTCTTATAGGATGACCATGCAATACTGATCCAAATCTTAGTGTCACTTTAAGATAAAAAAAAAAAAAAAAAAAAAAAGAGTGAGGGTATGAGGTCCGGATTGGACAGGAAGAAATGCAAAAATTGTTTGTTGTACTTTCATTCAGGTTTTTACTTCTTGCTAGTTTCTGATCTTTGGAGATCACTTTGGAAAACAAGCAACTACTACCTAACTACTTTGTTTTTAAGTTAAGTTTTTTAGGATTTAGAATTAACTCTATTATTCTGCAATTAAAGCAGTCATTACATTCACCTCATTGAAGTTCAGCCATCTTTATCTTCAGAGCTGTGGCTCACAGAGTTTTAGTTTGGGGATTTAAAATAAACTCACTGGGTGTCGGAATATTTCTGCGCACAAGAGGTCCTTGGATCACCCTGCTGTTGTCTTTGTTGACAGCAATGAAGGCAGTGAAAGAACTGCTCACTCCTGATTGGACACTGAGCCGCACCAACTTTTTCTTCACTTCTCCATCTTGCTGTCCTCTACTCTCTCTCTCCTCCAACTCCAGTGAGCGAATCAGAGTACGAGCACCCAACCTGTGGACTGTTAATCTGCAGACATGACACAAAAAAAACATCTTCTGTTCTAATGTCTATCATTTTACTAGATTAACTTATCAGTAACTTTGTCTATACCACTGCATCCTCTTCAGGGTCCTACAGAGGTGAAGTTTAATCCACCACTTTGGTAAAGAATCACAATGATAACATACCAAGTTTATCTGAAGACAGTAGAGTGATCCAATATATACAAGGATACAAACATACATACATTGAAATGCATGCATGCATTCATGAACTTTAGTTAATCAAGTTTAGTTCTTAAATATTATAAAGTGTTTACTGTATAGTGTAGAAATTGTTTAATGTATAATGTTACCATTTTTATTTTAATGAAATGACGTGTCCCCATTCTTATGTTTACTTTTTAGACACTCATCATCAAGCTCAGCAATAATAAGGTTCTCGATGTTAGAGTTAAATTACCCTTTAAATTTTTGGTTAAAACAGCTTCATTTATTCCCGTGTTTTCTGAATCATGAAATTTGAACTACAGGAAATGAAGCCAGTTGGTTTTGGGCAGATAATGGCTGCAACCATAGCTGGAGTGGCCATCGGGCATACCGGGCATTTGCCCGGTGGGCCGCTGGCGATTTTTTGTTTTTATGGGCCAATGGATTTTTTTTTAATTTTTAGTTTTTTTTTTAGGAAGGGTATATATAATGAAAGGTGTTGGATTGGCCAATTGGTCATGATCGACTCTGGGCTGGACCAATTACAGCCGAGGAGGCCGGATGCACCCTCCCCCTTGTTTAGCAATCACGTGATTTTCGCGCATTGCATGCCGGGAACTCGTGGCAAAACAATCTAAGTACCGCATCAAATGCAAGCATTTGCAGCACCGCAAAATGTTCATTCTCCGGTTCCAATACCTTCTTGTTTTTTCTTTGCCGCACAAAAAAGGAATGTACAAAACAAAAGGAGAACAATGCCGGTCCGTACAAAGACAGACTTGATGAAAAGTCAAAGAAAAGATACGAGGAAAAAATCAAAGGAGTGAAAGGGTCAGACCCTTACGAGCACACAGAATGGACAAAAGACGTTAGCGTGCTGCCCAACTTTCACCACGCTCAGATTTATAATTATACGGTTCTTGGAGTGAGCGCATACACTCATGAAGTTTAGTAACTTCAGGTCACTGCAACAAGCCCAGGTACAGTTTACCGACGGATGGGTGCAGGACCTTGAAATGCACCGTGTAGAACGAAAGGACCATCGTAAGAACAAAGGTAAGTTTACCAGTCTCACAAATCGTCGTCATAAACACACATTCGTTAACCATTTATTAATAGGACCTTTGAGCTCAACGGTAATTAATTAGTAGTGGAAATAATTTCTGGTAGCATCACAGAAATGTAGCAGTGACAATAATATTGTATGTTGTAATCGCACCGGACAATTAGTGATACAAAACAACTGTTTTATCTTGTGAATAAAAGTATATGTTTTTGTCAATGTACCATAATAACAGAAGCGAAACGCAATATTGTGTGAAAGGAGCCAGCTGAGGTGGTTCGGGCATCTGACAAGGATGCCCCCTGGGCGCCTCCTGGGTGAGGTGTTCCAGGCATGTCACACCAGGAGGAGGCCCCGGGGCAGACCCAGGACACGCTGGAGAGATTATATCTCTCGGCTGGCCTGGGAACGCCTTGGCATTCCCCCGGATAAGCTGGAGGAGGTGGCTGGGGAGAGGGAGGTCTGGGCCTCTTTGCTTAGGCTGCTGCCCCCGCGACCCGGCCTCGGATAAAGCGGATGAAGATGGATGAAGATGGATGGACAATTCACTATTTATGCACAATAAATAAAGGAGCATAGCGCGACAATTTCTGTTCAGCGCCAGACTTGCTTGTAACCTATATCACCAATTATGTTAAGAAAAATGACGCATTAACGACTACAAAACTCTGACCTTTGTGGGAATGCTTGGAGCAGACTAACATGTGAGCTGGAGTGTTCTGAGACGTTATATTTGGTATATCCAGACCATCCGTCGGCTCTTACTTCGGAAACATGGCTTAAAAAATTTCTCTTCAACGACGTAATCCGATAAAAAGCAAAAAACAATCTCTTTACCCGTCGGCTTCCCGTGGATGTCATGCGACCGGCTATTGCAGTTAATAATACAACAGCTTCTTGCCATTTTTTGGGTTTCTTTTTATCGCTGTGTAACTGAGTTCAATTGAAAGCCTGCGTGCACTAGTACCTCTTGCCACAAGTTCCCAGAATCCTTTGCGGTTTTACCCCTGAATGACATCACATTTTCAATCTTTATCCTGGTGGGCTTGTCTCTAGTCAAAATGCCCGGGCCGATTTTTTGTCCCAGTCCAGCCATGGCTGCAACTGGAATATTAAATGAGTAAACCCTATTGTCAGAATATCAAACATAGAAATACACTGTAATTCATCATTGTTTCTAATGATGTATAGATGGAAAAAAAGGATGTGGTAAAACCAGGTCATAAAAATATCAAAGATATGCACAGTAATATGTTTGTGCATCTTAAATAAAGTAAACCAAACCAAAAGGGTGCTGTTGTTATTAAACTTTGTTTTACCCAGTGTCCTCTGCAGGTCTGAAACTGAAGTGCAGCTGGCTCTCAGAGGGATGACCTGCCAGGCTGTACTTCACCGTCACACAGCCCTCTGCTGCCTCTGAGCTCTGACACAGCATCACAGGGTCAGAAGTCACGTTAATTACTATCATCAAATATCTAAACAACAAAACGAGAAGATGCTGCTCTTACCTGTCCAGTAAGCTGGGCATAAATCAGTGACCTTTGACCCTGGAAAAGTGCAGTGATTGGTGGAGAGAGGACAGTGACAGACACTTCCTTTGGTAAATCCCATGTGACTGAGATGTCGACCACAGTCGGCTGCAAAGAAAATTGCAGCGACTGCATCACCTGAAAAATAAAGAAAAACTCTCCAAATATACATCCTATACATATAACAAATATGTATCTGCTGCAATCTTTAATGTGACTTCTAATTGTGTTTCATGTCTTACTTTTGCTTGCATCCTGTCAGTCCCTGTGATGAACTGAGCATGACCTCCTCCTTCCTTTGCCATCCCATTGATGAGAGCAGAGCTGGCCCCTTCCCCAATCCCAAAAGAGAAACACCTGCAATACAACAGTTTTCTTTAAGTACACAGAGGACATGTATTGTGTAGATATAGTTGTGGGTTTGTGGTTTCACCTGTGGGAATCTGAGTTCCTCTTCACCAGATCTATCACTTCTTTGGTGTTTCCCACCTCTCCATCAGTAAAGACAAACAGCTAGAGAGGAGAGTTGGCACATGAAGACATAACATCAGACCCAGAAACACACAGCTTGTTCTGAGAGCTGAGTTAGGTTTCTGTCTGTTACGTTCTGTGAGGCTGTGGGAGTGTGTGGGTGGGGTGTTTGCCCACTCTCCCCGCCCCCACCCCTCTTGCCACTCCTACCCCTCTCTGTCTCTCTCACTCTCCGCTCTCCCCAGGACACAGCTGCTGCTGATTAGCCTCGTTTGCCACCTGACTCCAGTCAGCAATCATCCTCTGAGGCTATTTAAACTGGGGATGAGCTGTGAGCAGGGTGGCGGTTTCCTTGGTGGCTCTACGTGGTTCTGTGCTAGATTTTGGACAGACAGCCTCTTTCTGACCAGTGAGCAGACGGGCTTGTGGGCCCTGAGAGTGTCTCCCTGTGGTGGGGAGTAGGGTAGGAAGTGTGGGAAGTGCCTCCTTTTTTATTGTGTTTGTTTGGTAGTCCTCCTGCCTTTCGTGGCTGCGAGCGTTTTCTTTGTTTCTTTGGCGTTATTGGTAAGACGGCGTTGCCGGCCCTTTAAGTTAATGTTAACCTGTACCATTTTGTAATAAAGTTTTATTGATGCAGAACAACTCTGTTTGTTTTCCTTTTTCATTCTGATTCCGGACTCTCTCACATGCCTAGACCCCTTCGGGGGGAACGTAACAAAGTGGGGGCTCGTCCGGGATATGAATGGAACGAACAACAATTGAGTTTTAGTGAGTTGTTTGCCGGTGGCTTGTTTAGTTGTATGGTATCTGCTGCGCTCTCTCTCCAGTTAGCAAAGGGGAGTGTCTAGCTGAGCGTAAGCTCCTCCTTCAGGCACTCATTTTTTATTTTTCCTTTATTATTTTCGGAGTAATCCCGGGTGGGGATTAGTTCCCTGTCGGGGGTAGGCTTGTCGGTGCTTTGTGCACTTGATGCTTAGCCTTTAAAGTTGCCTCAAGCCTGGTACACTCCAGAAGCTAACTAGGCTAAGATTTTAGTAGGCAGGTCTGGGGAGAGGGTCGGCGGTACTTTTATTTATTGGTTAACCTCTGGCCACACTTTTCCCGCCTGTTTTCTCATTTGTGTATTGGAGGTGGTGCTTCTTTGTTGTTATTGTTAGCCTCAGGTAGTTTTTTGTTTTTAGAGTTGATGGCTACCTTTGATATTGCCGTGTTTAATAAAAACCCCTCGCTTGTCCAACTGGACGCCTGTAGGAAGAGGGATTTGCATGAGGTGGCATCAGGTTATAGCATTTCTGTTTCCACAGCTCTGCGTAAGGCTGAGCTGAAAGCTGCTCTTGTGTCTGACATTGCCTTGCTTCGAACCCCTCTCCATTGAGTCAAGTGAAGGTTCGAAGCAGGATGCTAAGCTCCGTGTACGCCTGGCTCGTCTCCAGTTAGAAAAGGAGGACCGTGAGAGGGAGTTCCAGCTAAAGAAAGAGCTGGAGCTTAGGCGTTTAGACGCAGAGCTTGCTAGAGCCAGAGAGGTCGAATTGAGGAAGGTGGAGGTGGAGGCAGAGACAGCTGTGAGGTTGCGACAGCTGGAACTCCGGCAGGTTTCCCTTCCTCCGACTGCCTCCATTCGTCAGGCAGACACCCCGTTTGACGTAGGGAAAAACAGTCGTCTGGTTCCGATGTTCCGTGACACTGAGGTCGACAGCTACTTCGAGTCGTTTGAACGAATAGCCACAGCCTTGCACTGGCCACGGGATTCATGGGCCATTTTGCTCCAATGTAAGCTGGTGGGTAAGGCTCAAGAAGTTTGTTCCTCGTTGTCAGCTGAGGACAGCTTGGACTATGACAAGCTGAAAAGGGCTATCCTGCTGGCCTATGAGCTGGTCCCAGAAGCCTATAGGCAGCGTTTCCGGGGGTTGAGAAGAGGTCAGGGTCAGTCCTATCTTGATTTCGCCAGGGAAAAAGGTGTTCTTTTCGATCGGTGGTGTGCGGCCTGCAAAGCCACTGACCTGGCTTCGATCCGGGAACTAATGCTCATAGAGGAATTTAAGAACTGCATTGCTGAGCGCATCGCGGTATATATTAATGAACAGAAGGTTTCCTCGCTACAGCAGGCTGCGACGCTGGCTGATGAGTTCGCGCTCGTCCATAAAACCAGTGTCAGTAGGTATGACCGGCGCGATGCCCCAGTGAAGGCTAGCGAGGTGCCAGTTGCACAGCACCCAAAGAGTGAGGTACTTGTGTTTCGTCCCAAGGCAGACCGAAAGTGTTTTTTCTGTTTTAAGTCTGGCCACCTGATCGCAGATTGTGAAGCTTACAGACGGAAACAATCAGTCTCGTCTTCACGTAAACCAAAAGGGGTTGGGCTGATTAAAACCATGCCTCCTGTCAGTAGGCCCCCTTCCCCTGAGACCCCGGATGAGTGTTTTAAGCCCTTCATTTTTAAGGGATAGTTTCGCTTTCTGGTAAGACCGAGGATAAGCGTGAAGTGACCATTCTGCGTGATACTGGTGGCTCACAGTCCCTCATACTAGCTAGTGTGCTTGAATTTAATGAGAAGTCTGACTGTGACTCTAGCATCATTGTAAGAGGTGTTGGGATGAGTTTTGTGCCTGCTCCCCTCCATCGTATCTGGGTACAGAGTGAGCTGGTGAGTGGTTTCTTCTCAGTGGGTGTGCGGCCTTCTCTCCCGATTAATGGGGTGGATTTTATAATGGGAAATGATATCGCGGGTGGGAAAGTTTACCCTACCCCTGAGGTGACCAACAATCCTGTTATAGAGCCTGTATTAGATGCCCTCAGCCTGCAGCACCCGGATGTGTTCCCGGTGAGCGTTCTGACTCGTTCACGTGCCCAGCAACAAGGTGGGGGGGTTGATTTGTCAGAATCAGTGATTGGCTCTATTCTAGAGAAGGATGTGATGCCCTGCACCGATGAGGGAGATAATGGAGCCTTAGAGTTAGCTCAGTGTGGTTGAGCCAGCTCCTGTGTCTGGAGCTCCTTTTCTGCTCACCCGGGAAGCACTTGTGAAGGCTCAGAAAGAAGACCCTTCATTAGTTCAGTGTTTTACCGCAGCAGCTCAGGATAAGGGAGGTGAGGGGAGCAAGAGGCAGACATTTTTCATTTGGGAAGGTTTATTGATGCGCAAGTGGACCCCAAGGCCTGGAGAAGACAGGAGCGTAGTGCGGCAGTTGGTGGTTCCGACCAGTCTGCGGTGGCATGTGCTGCAGTTAGCACATGATCACGCATGGTCAGGTCATTTGGGTGTCACTAAAACATATGACCGTATACTGCAGCATTTCTTTTGGCCGGCAATGAAAGCAGATGTAGTGCAGTTTTGTAACACCTGTCACACTTGCCAGCTTGTGGGTAAACCGAACCAGGCGGTGCCCCCCGCCCCCTACGTCCTATCCCTGCTGTCGGTGAACCTTTTGAGCATATCCTGGTAGACTGTGTTGGCCCCTTACCAAAGACGCGGGCAGGGAATCAGTTCTTGTTAACCATAATGTGTGTGTCCACTCGATACCCAGAGGCGATTCCTCTGCGGAAAATCACGACAGCAAGCATTACCAAAGCACTAGTCAAATTCTTTACCACCTTTGGTCTCCCGAAAACCGTGCAGACAGATCAGGGTACCAATTTCATGTCCAGGGATTTTAATCGGACTCTACGGTCCCTTGGAGTTTCTCATTCTGTGTCTAGTGCTTATCACCCAGAGTCACAAGGTGCACTGGAGCGGTGGCATCAAACTCTCAAGGCGATGTTGAGTAAGTATTGCCACGACACCGGAAAAAGCTGGGATGACGGGGTCCCGTTTGTATTGTTCGCTATACGTGATGTGAAGCAGGAGTCTTTGGGGTTCGGCCCAGCTACCCTGGTGTTTGGACACGACGTGCGGGGTCCGCTAAAGGTGTTGAAGGAGAGTTTTCTCAGTGGTTGTGTGCCTAAAACTACTGTGATGGAGTTTGTAAAAACATGCAAGGACAGGTGGCAACGGGCTACTTTGTTAGCAAAAGAGGCTCTCTGTGTATCCCAGGCAAACATGAAAAAACGATGTGATCAAAAAGCAGTGGAAAGACAGTTCCAGCCTGGGGACAAAGTTCTTGTGTTGTTGCCCGTGCCCAGTTCTGCCCTCATGGCTCGTTTCTCAGGCCCCTATGTGATAGTGAAAAAAGTGTCTGACACCAACTATATTCTCAACACCCCAGAACGCAGAAGGAAGACTCGCCTATGCCATGTCAACATGTTGAAACCATACCATACCAGAGACACCAGCATGACAGAATCATCAGACACTGCTGGGACGGCTGTCCCCGGTTCAGTCCCTGTTGCCCTGCTAAGTGTTGAAGTTAAGGGTGATGATGATCTGGGTACCCTTTCTGAGGGACAGCAATGTGGGCGGTTGTCAAATTCTGTTTTTTTAGCTAAGGCCGAGGCCAACCTATCTCACCTTCCTCCGTCCCAGTGTAAAGAGGTACTTGACTTGCTGCACTCCTACCTGTCTCTTTTTAGTGACGTACCCTCGCGTACCCACGTTTGTGAGCATGACATTGACGTTGGAGACGCAGTCCCAATCAAGCAGCATGCATATCGTTGCCCCTTCGCCAAACGTGAGGTCATGAAAGAAGAAGTTGAGTACTTAGTAGAAAACGGCTTGGCACAACCTAGTTGTAGCCCCTGGAGCTCCCCATGTCTACTAACACCTAAGTCTGATGGCACACCCCGTTTCTGCACAGATTATCGGAAGGTAAACGCTGTAACGGTCTCTGACTCTTTTCCGCTTCCTCGTATGGAAGACTGCATTGACAGCATCGGCCCTGCCAAATTCATCACCAAACTCGATCTCCTTAAAGGCTACTGGCAGGTGCCTCTCACTCCCAGAGCTTCAGAGATTTCTGCATTTGTCACCCCTGACCACTTCATGCAATACACAGTAATGGCCTTTGGCATGAAAAATGCCCCAGCTACTTTTCAACGACTGATGCAGTTGGTGTTGGGAGATGTGCCCCAGTGCAATGTGTATCTAGATGACGTGGTGCTATACACAGACACATGGGCAGATCATATGTCCCTTCTGAGGACAGTGTTTCAGCGGCTAGCCGAGGCCTCGTTGACCCTCAATCTCGCTAAGTGTGAGTTTGGTAAGGCAACCGTCACTTACCTAGGTAAGCAGGTGGGGTTTGGGCAGGTCCGCCCAGTGGAGGCGAAGGTTGCTGCAATCCTGGACTACCCGAGTCCAGCCACCAGACGGGAACTAAGGCGGTTCCTAGGGATGACCGGATATTACCGGTGTTTCTGTAAGAACTTTTCTGTGGTCGTGACCCCGCTAACCAAACTGTGTAGCCCAAAGGTGCCTTTTGAATGGTCAGTTGAATGCCAGCATGCCTTTGAGTCGGCAAAATCTCTTCTGTGCAGCACCCCTGTATTGGCAGCTCCAAACTTCTCTCGCCCCTTTAAGCTAGAGGTCGATGCCAGTGCCACCGGAGCCGGGGCAGTCCTGCTGCAGGATGATGAGGAAGGTGTGTGCCATCCGGTCTGTTATTTCTCTGCAAAGTTCAAACCCCATCAACTGAACTACTCTACCATAGAGAAGGAAGCCTTAGCTCTGCTTCTAGCTCTGCAGCACTTTGAAGTGTATGTGGGCTCCAGCGCTTCCCCGGTGACCGTGTTCACAGACCACAACCCCCTCGTTTTTCTGAACCGGATGTACAATCACAACCAGCGACTGATGCGCTGGGCACTCCTGGCCCAGGATTACAATCTGATGATCATACACAAGAAAGGTACTGACAATATAGTGGCTGATGCACTCTCACGCAGCTCGCAATAGGGTGTTGTTGTTGTTATTGTTTTGGTAGGGCTTCAATGTAAGGGGGGGGAATGTTACGTTCTGTGAGGCTGTGGGAGTGTGTGGGTGGGGTGTTTGCCCACTCTCCCCGCCTCCACCCCTCTTGCCACTCCTACCCTCTCTGTCTCTCTCACTCTCCTCTCTCCCCAGGACACAGCTGCTGCTGATTAGCCTCGTTTGCCACCTGACTCCAGTCAGCAATCATCCTCTGAGGCTATTTAAACTGGGGATGAGCTGTGAGCAGGGTGGCTTTTTCCTCGGTGGCTCTACGCGGTTCTGTGCTAGATTTTGGACAGACAGCCTCTTTCTGACCAGTGAGCAGACGGGCTTGTGGGCCCTGAGAGTGTCTCCCCGTGGTGGGGAGTAGGGTAGGAAGTGTGGGAAGTGCCTCCTTTTTTATTGTGTTTGTTTGGTAGTCCTCCTGCCTTTCGTGGCTGCGAGCGTTTTCTTTGTTTCTTTGGCGTTATTGGTAAGACGGCGTTGCCGGCCCTTTAAGTTAATGTTAACCTGTACCATTTTGTAATAAAGTTTTATTGATGCAGAACAACTCTGTTTGTTTTCCTTTTTCATTCTGATTCCGGACTCATTTGTTACTGGTCCCTCTCTCACATGCCTAGACCCCTTCGGGGGGAACGTAACACTGTCAAAGGAAAATTGTACATAGTGTATCCAGCTACATGAAATATGCTGGATTTTATGGATCACTAAGCAATCCACATGTCTACATGACTTTTCACATAAACTCTTGTGTGATAAACTTATTTAGCAACTAACCGCTTCCTGTTTTCTGAGAACAGACTTAGAGAAGAGGAACCTCAGCTCTGAGTTCCCGGAATAAGTTTGTTACCTTTGTACACACACAAGCTTGTATAAATAAAGAACGCAGTAGGTCTAACCCGCCGCAAGGGTCTAAAGAAATAAACACATGAAATAGGTTGAGTTCGCCGAAAGGAACTAAATTTAGACTGGTTTCAGAAGTAGCTGAAAGTACTTTGTGACAAATTATAAAAACGAGTGAATGTCTATGTCTACATGTGTTTTGGAAGTAAGTTGATTTTACAGCACAAATAAACTGCTGAGCTACTTCCATCTTTGTGTATCCTGCAAAAGCCCACGTACTGGTGACAAAGGGGAAAGGTTGAGTTCCGCCTCATAAAACTGACACCGCTCCGTGAATCGCGCGGAGTAGAAGGGCGTGTCAGCCACCACCCCCGAGTCAAGTGTACCAGAGAAGGCTCTGCAGTTCTGTGACAATGGGGAATCAGCCCACCAAACTCACTGCTGACGAGCAGTGGCTAGAAAAGAAATGTCCAGGCGCCGGACAAATCAGTGCTTGTAGATGGAGAAATCCTAAGAAAACAAAATGTCCCACTTGGGAAGGGAAATGCAGCCCCTCAGTGCTAACACAGCTGAAGGAGGCTCTTTAAAAGAATTAGGAGAGAAAGGAAAACGCACGCAAGAATCACAATACTTCCAGGCCTGGAAAGAAGAAGCAGTTAGGCGAGACGAAAACAAAAGAAAAAAACAAGAGAAAAAGATAAATAGTCAGAAAAACAGAACTTAACTGCCAGTATAGTAAAACCAGAAGACGAGACACTGTGCAGTCCTCGCAATCCTTTTATTAACGTCAGAGTTAGGCAAGCGGTAAGTAAGGTTAAGTTTCAAGGAAGTCTTGAGGAAACTGATCCAAGCCAGTGTGTGCGTTACCTGTCTAGGCTGACTGGGAATGCAAGGCTGAGTGTAAATATGTTTGAGGGGCTCCAGGATCGCTGTTCCTCCAAGATTAGCCTGGATCTGCTCAACGCTCTTCAGGGCCTCTTCCATGGTCTGCTGAGTGTACTCCACACTCTTACTGCCATCACACAGACACCAATACACACGCATGTAACACAAAAGACACAAAAACATGAAAGGAATAATTGTGTTGGGCTGACAGATCTGAGCCTTACGGGAAGATGTGTTCATATCTGGACCCAAAACCATAGATGTTAAAATAGCATCCCATTGGTAAGCTCTTCAACAGGAGCAGTAGAGTATCCTTAAGAGAACAGGGAAAAGATGGTGAGTCCACCGTGTGAGAGGAACACTATAAAAAATTTATGACTGTAAGAACAGATACCTTGGCACTGCGGATCCGAGTATTACTCATACTTCCAGATCGATCCATTAAGAACACAAACTCTCCACATGAAGCCACTGAAGACATCACAGACTGGGAGAACTCAGGGTACAGACTCACCATCACCACTGGATCACCCATCAGAGAGCCTGAAAAACATTACGGACAGAAAAATAACCAAAAATTGTTTTTGCTGTTTACTCCAACATCTTTAACTACTGAGTTAAAGAAGACGGATAATGATTTTTTTTTTTAAATTTCAAAACAGCAAATCTCATTTCCGCTCAGCAGAGGCCTGTCCTGCCTCCACCACAGCGGTGGGCTGGTGGGCGTCTTTGTAATAAATCAGCAGTTCAACATCTCTGTCAAACTTGTGTCCTGCAGCCAGCTTGACCTGCACACCACACACACATTCATATTTAATTCTCAGTTATAAGTACAGAGCAGACACAGCAGCACTCTACCTACCGTGGCCTGGGTTTGATCAGTGTTGAGGTACTGGAGAGGGTCCAGGGAACAGTTGGACTCTACTTTAGAGATTGGACGAGGAGAGGACACTCGGGCAGAGAAAGGCAGAGTGTAGGGCACCCAAGAGGCTGGAACATAAACCACCTCGAAAGATTTACATTTCTTACCTGTAAACAAATGTGACTGATTAGAAGGATACCTTTTTTTTTTTTTTTTTTTTTTTTTTACAGCTGTAACTTCAGCAGAAAGAGAACTGCAGGTATGATGAGGGTCAGTCAAATGTTTTCTTTCAATATTCTTAAAGGACAGCACCAGTACAGAATGGCATGTCCATCCTCCAATCACTTTATAAATTCCATATTTCAAACAAAAGATTGGCAGTCATGTGATTCCGAAGAGAGTTAATTCAGGTTAACACTAAGATATATTCTCAGTTATAAGCAGAATATGTATAACAGAATAGAAAAGTGATCCAGGTCGAGAAAATGAAAAATATGCTCATCTGTAACCAAAATTTATGTAGATTCATTATATATATTCCAACTTTATATCATAAACATTTCAGCTAAATCTGTTTTGACAGAATTTTTTCTTTTAGCCAGTACATGTTTATATTTGTCCAAGAGTATAGATTCTGATTTGTTTTGATAGTAAGAAAGACCAGTATACACATATACTGGCTTTTATTTTTAAACATCTTTTAGATATTTATGTTCAGAGATCTTGATGCATTCTCAGTCATCCAGGTAAGTAAATCTCCAAAGGTTGATTCTGTTCATCTGGACGTAGCGTTTTCAGTGGGAGAAACGTTTCGTCACTCATCAAAGTGACTTCTTCAGACTTCAGCTGTTGATCAGTGGTCATGAGAATTTGCATAATCATGATGAAGGAACTGACCTCCCAGCCCATTGTTCCTTCAGTGGTGCTGGTTTCAGTCATTATGCAAATGTACTGTCAATAAGGTTGGGGAAACGTGCAGTCAGGTGAGACTGAAGAAGTCACTTTGATGAGTGATGAAACGTTTCTCTCGCTGAAAACGCTACAACCAGATGAACAGAATCAACCTTCATGTTCAAACATTGCTGCAGTTTCAATGTATGAAAAAAATACCATTTAAGTAGGTGCACGAGTCATTTTTCAAAAATATGTATGTTGAAAAGTATTTTAGTTATAAAACAAAATTTTGACTGCAATAATTATAGCTGCTCAAATTTTGTATCATAAAAATTTTATTCAAATCAGTGACAATCAAGCAGAAAAGATTCTACAAATTGCCCAATTTGAGATGGAATGACTTACAGTAGTTATTTTTCGGTTAACATGTAAATAATTCCATGTAATATCTTACTTATTTCCACATATGTAGTTATGAAACCTTTTACATGTTTGAATTTGAGGGTTTCTGCTAGTGTCAAGTGTTTTTCGTACCCCGATATTTGAGGTTGTTGTTAAGACTGCTTTCATCCTTCATGGATTTTTGAGTTGAATCATAACTTTGACTGTGTTAACTATATAAGACACTTTCTTTAATGTTTATTCTGGAAGTTACATTTAATTTAAACAGACTTTCATTTGACTATTCAATAGTAATATTATTCAAACTGAATTAACATGAAAGACTAGATTTTTGTAGTTCTGAGTTTTTATACTTTAATTTTTCATCTTTTTTAAAGAACTACACAAAGACAAACACGAAATGTATGACATTGCAGACTGTATTTCTGCTATTTGTCCCTCTTTTCAAATACTGTTTTTAATTAGATATTATCTCTATCACAAACAATATGTGAAGCAAGATATTATGTGCCATTATAACCAGTAACCAGTTACATTAAAATATTACAAAATCCAAACGTGGTCAGAGAGAAAACAGAAGTCTCTTTGAATCAGTTCCTCGTTCCTTTTGGAGAGTTAGCGGACTGGAGAAGTTCATCTTTGTACCTATGAACCAAGAACATTATTTTAATGCTAATAGGAACATCTTAATAGTTAGTTAAATTTTAATTGCATTATTAATTTGATTACTTATGCACAGTTTTCCAGTCATACAGTTTTTTTTTTTATAGTGAGGTGTTTTCATTTTGTTTTCTTGTTTCTTTTCCTAAGGGAATGGTTTGTCACTTGTCAGCATTGTCAGCTAACAGTGAATACTCTTGGTATTATAGTAGATATTTAGTTAGGCTTAAGATCTCTGTGTTTGAAAGCAGACAGGCAGCATAAATAGTGCTTTAAACTGGTCCAATTTATGTTGTGAAATTGTTACATGGTGGAGGAATGTGTTTTTCTTATGTGTATGTGTGGTGGGTGAGGTGGGCGGAATCGTCACCGCATACCACTGTTTTGATGACAGGTAACAGCTAGCCTGAAGCACCTTCCGGTTTAGTTCTTCCTGTTGTTTGCATCATCGAATTAAAAATAAAGAGCAACACCCCAACCACCACCCCCCCAACACACACACACACACACACACACACACACACACACACACACACACACACACACACACACACACACAGATGTCTCTCTGTAAATGCGGTTGTCTGTTGCAGCACAACCACATTTCTTTATATCACGATAAAAACATATAAACAAAATTAATAAAGAATTTCAATGTGACAGCATCCAGGTTGCTATCCTTAGTCTTAAGGTTTTCATGTCAGTGTGCAGTAATGTGTTGCTGAACAGCAAGTGATCAGGCTGCTTAAATAAATGCACGGTAGGAGCTTACCTCTAAAGCCCAACATGTGTGTCAGATGTCAGATGGTTTACTGCCGTCCCCGTTTGTAAATATTAAGGCCAAAGTGTTCAAACAGCACAGACTCAACTGATATGTCACCTCTATCTGATATCTCCACTTACTTGTTGAGATGTGGGTGGAGCTTTTTTCGCAGCCTTAGCTCTGAGAACACAGTCATCAGGACCTGAACCCTGCGTTTAAAAGTCTTGGTACAGAAGACTGTAGGGTGGCTACAGAGGGAAACCTGGGAAAATGTTCTTATAGTCTTTATGTGTTAAACAAGTAACAAAGTATGAATTTCATCACCAGAAAGGGGGAGAGAAAAGTAAGGAACAGTCTTTCTGAAAGAGCTGCTACAGTAGCTGTCTTTACTTTATCAATGTTATGAGAACAATTCTGATTTATCTATTTATTTGTTTACAACGGTAAACACAAATTTCAAATACCAATGTACAATACAAATATATAACAATTCTAATTATATAATTAAAACAAATGATAACGCACACATAATGTTGTCTGGTCGTTCCATACATTTTTATACATCATGTGTTTGTATTCAAATTTTGCTATATTATCATTATTATTATTATAACAATATCTCAAATTATCAGTTTTTGATTTTATTTATTAAGATGAACAAGTCACCTTTCCAGGCACTGATTTCTCCACCTCACTGCTGGTCTTACCCAGTGCAATAGCCAGAGGCGCATCAAGCAATCAGCAGCCAGACGCCTGCTGGAGGGAGATTAATGTCAGCAAAGGGCCTGTGGGTGGCTTCTTAGCTACAACAGGTAGAAATTTTTTTTATTAAATTATTAAATATTTGGTGTATTTAAATATTTATAATATTTAATACCTACCAGATAAACCAGTGCATAAAAACCACTGCACAAAAAAATAACTGACACACACGCACAGCCTTCCCCTTTATTTTTTTCTACCTTCAGTGGCCCTATGCTACTATAGTAGCATATATCCAAAAGTTTAATGTTATTAAAAAAAAAAGCAAAAACGCATTCAGATCACAATTCTGATTGCAAAGCTGCCAGACAGGATTTAAAAATAAATAATGAAATAGAATAAAAGTCACAAATCAAGGTTTTACTTGCTGATTATTGATTTTTATTATTGTAAAACAGAACTGCCATAATCCACCTGCATACAGTTTCTCTTGTTTAACTTCTCGATGTATTCATAGAATTACAGTACTTGTCAGTACGTGGAGATTTTGCACCGATAACTAATAACTGACCAAGTAAATAAAAAAATGCCGCAACTTGGACAGTAGTAGGAGATGTGTTTGTTGTTTGTTTTGGAGTGTCCCTTTCTCTGCACGACATTTTTGAACCAAAGTATTAAAATGAATCACAAAGGTGATATACTAAATTAGTGGCAGACAACAACCATTCATCAGGTAAGCAGGCATGACTGTAATATCATTTGTATGTGACACGAACGCCACAAGAAAGGTAGTGTTATACCTGTTGCTCAGTCTGTGGCTTTTTGGCAGAGTCAGTGATCACAGTGTTGTCTTTAGTGTAGCCATTGCCCTTGTTGTTAGGTTTCAAAATGACAGTTTAGTTGGTTAGTCATTAAATAGACGCTCTCATGATTCATCGAGTGACACCTCTGATAATCAATTTGTGGCACGCAGTCTGTTGATGTCACATTTTCTACTTGCATGGATCGCTTGGAAACCCGGCTGAGGAGGTACTAAAAACTATCCACTACCAGATACTATCACTTAATGGAAAAGGCTAAAAACAGAGTTGAGCCGTGCTGACCCAAATCAAGTAGGTACTATTGGAAAAGGTTCATAAGAAATCCCTCAGAGTCCCAGAGCTTCTTTCATCACGCTGCAACCCAACAGTAAATTGCAGCTTCCACACACTCTGTCACCCATGGTGCTGAAAACACAAACAAAGAAAGACAGCTG